TGTCCGGATTCACGTTCTTCGCGTCCGGGTTCGTGTTCGAATGGTTCGTATCCGGGTTTTGTTTCGCGTCTGTTTCGTGTCGGCTTCTTGTCTGGGTTCGTATCTGGGTCCGGGGTTCGTATCGCTACGGGTCCGGTACGGATCTGGTATAGAATTGGGCTCGTATTTAATACGTTCATAATTATTTCGTTTTTGAATTATTTTTTCTATTCATATTTAATAATATTTAACATATCTTGAATATTCATATGATATCTATTTTCTAAAATTAAGAATGAAATAAGAATAATCTCTATAATTTTTATAAGAATTTAGAATTGAATGAAATGATCTTTATTATTATTATACTATTCTAGATAATTTCTCGATATGGTTATACTTGTGAGTTAATGATGCATGAATTCGTATTAAAATAGATTCGGAGAAATATCTGAAACAAATTTAAGAGTTGAATACATACGTCAAAAATTATAGATAGAGAATATAAAATCATTATTGGGATTGATCGAATAATTAAAATTATGAATTGCGCGTATCTATATTTTATATTTGAGCTTATTTTCTCAGAAAGAAATATAGATATTTGAATATATTATAATAAAAATATATGATATCTTATTCTTAAATTATTCATTTTATTTTTTTATTGATCATTTTTATAATTAATAGGATTTAATTATTTTTATATGAAGATTTGAAGGCTTCAAATTTATACCGAAAAAGATTATATCTTTTTTTTTAGGACTCTAATTTTGAATGATCAAAATAATTTAAATTCAAAACAATTCAAAAATCTCATTGAAGATGTAATTCTTATGACTTGTATTAAATCTCCGTATTTATGCCGCAATGACAAACGATTCGAATTAATATGGATTTCGTAGGAAAAAAGAGATATATCGTAAATATCAATGAATATATCCAAGAGGCTCTGATATTATTTTTACGACGGCCTATTATTTCGATTCAGAGAATATATTCCGTCAATATTTCGTCCAGACGCTAGACGCCGCTGTGCGGAATACGGGCAGGGTCCGACGAATTTTCAAAGATCACGTCTAGTACGAAAAAATACGTCTATGCGTTCTTAGCGTCCGCCTATAGCCGAGCCCAAGACGACGAGCTATTGCGGTTCGCCACGAAGAAATTCTTGGGGAATATTAAATAATGAAATTTCTTGAATGACCGGTCGAACGGAAACTAATTAGATCAATCTATTTCATTAAATATAGGACGAAGAGCATGGAATTGAGAATCGAAGAATAGAAAAAAATATTCTATCCTCTCCTTTATCTCTTCTCTCTATTCTCTCTCTTCTCTCTTCCCTCTCCTCTATTATCTCTTCTTTCTTCCCTCTTCTCTCTTTTCTCTTCTCTCGTCTCTTTCGTCTCTCGCCACTCTTCTTTCTGACCTAGGGACATATACCCCATAGAGCCACCTCCCACTTTCTAGATTAAATTTATTTGAATCTATAATAATCGATATTGAGTTTAAACGAAATCATATAAATCGATAAATTCATATAAATCTATATTATAATCGATATTAGAGTCGATAGATTCAATAAAGATTTCTATATAAGAATCCGACATCGATATTTTCGGAAATATTTTAAATGATAATTTAAATGCCGGGAAGGGGGACCCAGGGCACAAACCCGTCCCTAGGATATAGGACCTCATCCCCAAGATTTAATATATATTTATGATTCCAAATATTTCAAATATTCAATTTAATTAATTGCCGAATCGAATTAAAAATTTTAGATAATTCGGGAGGGGGCCCGGAGCCCGGACCTCTTCTTCAAGATTCAAATTATTTAATTATCTAGAATATATTTAAATCCGGTGGAATGGGATCCTAGGGCGCGATCTTTTCCGGATCTATTTCCGAGGATCAAAATTATTCAAATTATGAATTTAATAATTTAAATAATCTAAATAATTTATGAATAATTTGAATTTTAAATCCTGGGAAAGGGATTCCGAGGGCGATCCTCTCCGGATCCCTCCCCAGGATTTAGTTAATTTAGATGATCTAAATTATTTAATTATCGGTCGAATTAAATAATTAGAATAATTTAAATATTTTAAATAATTTGCATAATTGAAAATCGGGGGAAGGAGGTCCCGGAGCGCGGATCTTTTCCGGATACCTTCCCCAAGATTTTATATTTTTCAAAATACTCAAACTATTTAAATAATTGAATTATCGATCCGAATCAAATAATATAAATCCCGGAAGAAGGGTCCGAGATTCCTCCGGACCGTGCCTTCAAGATTTAAAATACTTAATTTATTCAAATTATTTAATTTCCAGAGATCGAATTAAATACTTCAATTAATATTTTATTAGAAATTATTGCGACCTCTTTATCTTTTCTTTTGCTTTCGCATATGAAATATTATATTTGAAAAAGACAAAATTAGACCCGATCCCTTCTTATTTCTATAAAGACTATCTTATTCTGAAAATCTATTCTCTGATATCTTTATCAATTCGACAGCCTTCAATTTAATTAAGAAAATCTTTGGGAAAATTTAGTACTATCGAGCCGTCATTTTCAGATTCGGAGAACGCAACGATTCGATAACACCAAATTTTCTGAAAAGAAATCTTTTGGAAAATTTGATATATCGGACCATTATCTTCAATTTTTGCAAATATAATGAATCGATAATTCCAAATATTCTGAAAAGAAATCTTTCAGAAATTTTGATATTATGGAATCAGTCTATGATACCTATCTCATTTATCTTCGATCTTCGAAAGAAATATATTTTATTAGGCCATCTTATAATCCGATCGCACCTTTTCGCAAAAAAGACGCGCAAGTTGATTAATCGACCTCTTTCTATATCATATTTCTATATCCATAAAAGAAATCTCATTCTATATTATGATTCCGTTCTTTTCTTATTTCAATATTCCATATTCTTAAATTATTATCCAAAATCTTTTCCTGCCTTCCTTCTCCGAAAAAATCAACGAGATAAATCGTAAATCTTAGTCCCTAAGATTAATGATTATAATTCTTCTCTAATAAAGAAAGAATATAAATCAAAAATGATACGGATCAAGGCTGAGATATATTAATCTCTTTAGGACTGACTGCTCTCCAATGCTCGTTCTTTATATAATCTGAAATCAGGATTGAGAGAAATTCGCCCGCTATGAGCAGTGCCCGCTCGCTCAACGTCCAATAATTGTCCTTATTTACCATTCCGAGTCCCCGATTCCGGGTTTCAATTCCGGGTACCGAATTCCGGATAGGCGGGGGTCCCGGAAGATTAGCGACGAGTAAAATGATATTATATTTCTTGGGACAGCGCGATCTCCTTGCTAGGAGCGAAGTTGTTTCCTTTTTCTTATAAAAGTCGAAGGTTGCAAGAAATAAAAAGGGAGACACTCCTCGGCCTTTAGCTCCGGGCCAAGCCTAACTATGGTCGAAATATAAAGCAAGAATCTAAGGTTCCCGAAATAAAAAGAGGACCTGCCTTGGTCGAAAACTAACGAATAATTTAGAATGATTTTTCTCTAATTCCAGAGAAGACCATTCCTATCCTAATAAGATTTAAAAAAAGAAGAAAACTTTTTCTTATCGGAAAAGAAAGATATAGATCTCTCTTCTTTTTCGAGAAATCACAGAGATCTCTCTTCTGAATTGCTAGGAGAGGACCTATCAATCTAAATCCTCTTCTTTTTCATGATATTAGATAGGATTCGTTTATTTCGCTATTTTTGAAAATTAGAGCGAAATTTCTTTTGTTAAAGAAGTGAATTTCTTCAAATATCTCGTAATTGAAGAATATTTCTTCAAAACACTTCTATATTATTTCAATTCTCGCCAAAGATTACGAAAATTCTAAGAAAATTCTTATCTTAGAATATGAAATAGAAGATTCATTTTTTTCTTTCTATATATATTATGAAACAGACCAGATTTTGTTACTTTAAGATTTTCAATTCTTTCTTCTTAAAATAGATATTTTTCCAATAAGATTTCTATCATATCAAAAGAAGAAAGCAGCCTCTTATTGAACAGAATTTTTGAGAAGATGATTTTTTCTATTAATATGAAATTCCTCTTATCAAATCAGAATAGAAGAACCTCTCCAATTCCCCTTATCGAATCTGAATCAGAATATTTTCGTTTTGGAAGTTGAGAGAGAATCTAGAACTCTCGTATTATGAACGAGATTTCTTTAATTTCGCCGTATCTCTTCATAATACTTCAATTTTCAAATGATTTCTGATTACATGCTAAGACCGGATAAAGCAGAGCCATCAGAAAACCCGCAAAAGCCCATAATGAGCGTCGCTCTTTAAAGTATATATTTCCTACAAACCCACCTCCGGAGTGTGGGTCTTAGAAACACATGCCTATTACAAGCCGAGTATCAATCTTTCTCTACCTACGAGAGCTAACATTAAATGTACGCTGAAGGGTCGGGAAAACGAGACGCAGCTACGCAAGGAACTTCACCTTGAGCATATGCGGTTCAAAACATTCCTAGCACGACTCTAGCGGTTTTCGTAGCGCCAAGGTATACTCCAAAACAGATGCTCCCCCAACGCATTGATGTCAATCCCAATTATTCCAACGACACGCGAACTTAGAACACAGCCCATATAAATGCTTAATTTATTCTACGTTCTTTTCGTTCGCATTATTTTTGATTGGTACATTGTGTGACCTAATTCTCGCGCTCTTTTCCTTCGCTCCTATAAAAACCAGGATTCGCTCCGCTCCTTTTGGTCTTTGCCACGGTTATTTGTAATGAAAAGACCGGAAGGTAAGCACGAAGGCGAAAAACAAAAAGTGAGATAAGATTCGAAATCATTGAACCAACTCTTCAGTTCTTCATTCTTAACGAACCGATGCCTCTCTATCTCGGGTTCATCAGCTGCAGTCTATGGCCTAGACTTTCTTTATTCGTATCACACTTACAATGGTGAAGAATCTGTTTCCAGGGCTCTAAATGTTGTGACTCACGCACGGTTTCCATGCATCCCAAGCAGGCATGAGCTAGCTCTTGCATAGGTATGCAGTATACATTGTCCCCGTTTCCTGATCTTTTCACCGCTATTTCCTGGTCTTCACTTTGAGCCAATCGGAGCAAGATTTGGGCAATCGAATCCGATCGCAGAGTGGCGGCCTTGGCGAAGTGCGAACTGCTTGGCTCGGATCTGCTATGCCGCGACGCGATGCTAAGCACATGGCTCTGAAGCCAGAGTTGACTTGGGCTGCTGCCCAAGGTGACATCGGATGCTTGATTGGAGCTGTGACCTGAATCAGCTCGACACCTTACCTAAAATCCCTGAGCCCGGGATTCCCATAACAACTTAATCACGGCTTGCAGCACCGCAGGCACTCCGAAGGGTGAGGACAATCTTAGAACCCAGCCCGGTCCAGCAACGCATTCCGCAAGGAGACGGCCAATGCCTTCTGATCTCTCCATGCGCAATCATAACTCTCCGCTTGGCCGCATTATTGATAAGGGCAATGGGTATGGAAAGTCGTGGCCTTTTGTTCTAAGCTCTGCAGTTCGACTCAACGCTTAGAAAAGGAGTGGCATCAATGCAACTTATGAAACTTGCCGTGCGTCCTTGAAAGTCAATAGAGAAGAATCATGTTTGGCCTGGTCCTTGATGCCGCCGGTATGTCTTGCAAAATATCCTGCGTAGCCTTCGAAGTGCTTCCTCAGTCCAGCGCTCAAAATTCGAAGCATTTGGGGATAAGAGCAACTGAGGGGAGGACTTAGCCAAGTGGATCATACATGTTTGTGCGTGAAGTTTCTATGCTGAGGTCGCGTCAGTGGTGGTGGCGTGGCAATCAAGGAAGGAAACGCCATGAAGTACTCGTTCATGACCTTTTGCCGTGAACCGGAGGGCACAAATCAAAGTCGAAGTCCTGGACAGAGTCGACATGTCCCAGTGTCAATTTGGGGTTTCAGAACCTGTAACCAACCCCTACATGCTCCCGCCGCTTGCGAAAAGAGGAACGATGCAGGACGAAAAGCAGCAAGAGTGATCTGCAAGACAAAAAAGCATACCGTAAATGTCTCAGGCCCATCCCATACCCTGCAACGACCACACGTAGGCCGGCCCGCCGTCTGCTCCAAGAAGAGCTCATGGCGGAATCGCCTCGGAATTTGCAGCTTCTGGTATCGTTCTGGAGAGTCTGTGCCTTCTGGATTCATGGCAAATCTGATCTGGGTCCTAGGTCTTTCGCTGCAGCTACTGCTTCGCAGGACATCGCAGGATACAAGATGTGGCTGTCGAAACGAAACTGCAGCAGCTGTTTTACGAATTGCCGAACTGCTCGTTTGCAGCACTGGAGGATCTCTCGACCTCTGGCAGCCGAAGATGGCAAGCGAGACTGGAAAGCATGTCTAGTACATGTGCACATGTTTCTTTGTCCGACTGCATTAACGTGAACATTCTTTGATCTCCTTTGCCTTTATTTCGCAGACAAGAACTAGGACCTAGAGGGATCCGCAGCCGTAGTGGAAACCTTTGCCCCTCAGCCAAAACCCGAAATCTGATGCTTCAGCGCCCGTGAACGACTGACTGTCAGCCCCTCTGCTGACAGTCCGAGAATCACCCTGGACCAACTTCAAGTTAACATGTCAGGCTCTAGACTCTAGACTGCAAGGTTGTGCAGAATCCGGGCTGCCGAAGTCGGTGAAACTTCTGGGATCGCAGTTCTTCTGCGACCTCTCGAGCCGCCCTGCTGGGCCCTGTCTGCAATCAGTGCCATCTTAGATTTGGCCATGCTCTCATTCTTGACCGTTCGAACAGTCAACAGCTCGCCGCTAGCCTGCCTAAACTTGCAAATGGGCTCGAAGCCTTTAACGCACAGCGCACATCGTCGACTTACCCCGGCTTTCCGGATTTCATTCACTTTTGAAACTCCGGCTCAACCACTTTTCTGCTTATGCGCATGGCTCCTTCGAATTGACATCAGTGTGATTCAGTGTGTATTGAACCCCTGCAGTGACATGTATCTGCAGTGGACAGGCAGAGGGACGGCCGAGAAAAGTGCGGACCTTCGTGCTGACTTTGGTGGAAACGGCTTCATCTGATTTCTGCACGGGCAGCCACATCCCAAGCAGCCCCAGCACCGGATGTTTTACAACTTGGTAAGACAAACTTTACGGGCTCAGACTGCTCAAAGAGCGACTCTGTGGGGTATATTGCATACACAAAATGTGCTCAACGTCAGTCACAGGCGATTGAGGGAAGCATGTTGAACAAGCAAGCCCCGAGCGGGAGCCTCGGTTCCTGAGAACATGATGCTTTGGGGATCAAAGAAGTCTCTTGACTCGTGACTAATCACCACTGTATGATCCACCTCAACTTGTACTGTAGGTGTACAGTTGAACTCATTGCCATAGCTGCTGGCGCTTCTTCTTCGATAGTGGTGGCAGCGTAGCCACTGCCGGCTGAACCTGCGGCAGAAGCTGTTTCATGGAGCTTGCGGTGCCAGGTTGCTGCAGGAAGGTCTCAATGCTGCAAGCAAGATTTGGACAAGTCACCCTACACCTGTGCAATCAGGTTCACTACTACAGGCCTATGCCCAGCAGTAGACTTATACGCCGCAGTGCAGCACAAGTTCAAGTGCTCCCCGGTTTCTTGATTCTCTTCTGCAGCTCATGTGCTTCATGCACTTTTTCAATCCAGCTGGCTGGCACATCGCACAATTCATCAAGGTTGCTTCAACCAAGAAGCACGATTATGACCATGGGGTTCATCAGGAAATGATGCGCAATCTTGGCGACTTGTGAATGTCTATTCCTTCTCCCACAGGGCCTCATACTTGTGGCATCGCCAACCACGGACAGAACCAGCAGCTACAAGTTGTGCGGGTTTGCTTGTCTGGCAACCGCAGTAGGTAGCGTGACGTCATAGCTCTCGGGTTTCACGCGCATGTTCCCAGGCATGTGCTACAGCCCCAAAGTCCTGAGACTGGCCCGCTTTCTAAAACAGTCGCCGACTACAGGCTTCAGTTGTGCATCAGCATTTGCAGCATGACCTTGACGATAGCATTTGAAACCTGCACCGCACGGCCAGCCTCACAACGGGCCTCCGTTCTGCACTCTGCCTCAAGACTTTGTCCCAAGAGCGCTCCAGTCCCACCTGCCTAGAAGTCACACACCCGCAACCTAAGACTAGGACACTCAAGGCCCCGAGGACACTTTGAGCCACAGCAAGGCCTCAAAACCAACAAACGAGCAGAATGCTCGTTCCAACTGGAGACGTGTAGGACATCAGCAGGGTCGCACGCATCAAGAAAGTCAGGTACAGCTTAGCGCAGCCGCGCTTGGGGCGTGTGAAAATCGGCTTTTACTTTGTCAACGGCTATTGTCGCAGGGAATGGCTGCTGTGCGGATTCCCGTACTGAATCGCCTGCTTCGATCCATGTCTTCGAGGAGTCAGCTGTTTCCTGTCAGGGCAACTGGATGGACACGTGGGCAACCGCCTCACAAAAACCTGTGCCACAGTCAGGCTGTCCTGCTTGGGAAGTGGCTGTAGCAAGTGCTCATGGCTTGCCGCTTCCTCGCAACCATGAAGGCAAACACGGCAGTGGCTCTGACGGTGCCAATGCCTCCGCGAATGTCCGATGCTCTGAGGCTCTCTGAGGCTGCTGCATCGATGGGCCGCGGATGAACCGCGGAGTCGTGGCCCGAGCCGGGTCTGCCAGCGTCAACCCCAAATACACTTACTCCCGAGGTGGGGCTTCAACAGATTCCCTCAGTCGATATGGCTTTGCGCGGGGTCCACGGCTGAGAACAGGTGGAAAGGAATCGAATTCATGTTCGCAGTTGAACTGGCATCCTCTAGACTTGATGGCCGAGTGGTTAAATCGCCGTGTCAGCGGCAAGATTCTCATGTAGTTGGAAGCTCTTCGGCCTGCATCTGCCAGGATAAAGTCCACGAGGTTGTCACGCTTTTGAAGTGTTCTGCGCTCAATCGGCGGCACCTGCGATGCTGCCAAATTGGAACAGGGTACAGCGCTTAGCATGGCTTCACAGCTTAGCAGGGCCGTTGGTGCTGAATAGTTCGTTTGCCCAAAGCAGGTTCTGGACAGTGACACCAACATTTCGTCTAAAGAGTGTGGACTCTACTGAGGCTGGATGTTGGCTCGCTCCCTCACACCAGCTTTTGAACCCAAAGACTCGACTCGGTCGCAAAGGAGGGGTGGGTGGTCAGATGACACTCTTGGGTAAGTGGGTTTACGAGGATGCTGGCTCTTTCCTGTGCGTAATTCTCGCTAGCGTGTCAAACTCTTCATACTCTTGACCGCGATAAATACAATCAATCTGCAGCCCCGGCATGCCCGGCTGCCCCATCCTCTGGTCGTCTCGCTCGAGCTGCCGCTGCTTCGTTTGCCATCTGTTCGTAGTCGAAAGCTGGGCTCCGTGAGTCCGAGCCGTCCGTCGCCTCGTTCAGGACGGCTGGGCTTCGAGACGCACTGAGAAACTTCATGAATGGGGGGGTGCTGCGGCCACAAGAGGTTGGGGGGGGAGCTGCGAAGAAGGGGGGGCTGGAATACTTCATGCTGGCAGGTACGAACCATCACGCTTCGTGACCCCTGTTTACAAGACTCTCAAGTCCACTTCTGAAGCTACAGAAAGCGATGGAAGGGAGGGCATGTGAGCAAGCAGCATGGCTCGATGTGGTGGGCCAGGCGGGGAGCGGCGTGCATGCTGGCAATGACGACGCAGCCAGTGTTTTGGATTTGCTACTGAGGGCGCAGAAGTCTCGTCAACCAACTGCTCGATCAAAGAGAGATGATTGAGCGGCTGCAATGGGACTCTACATGCTTCCTGGTGCGTGCTGTAGCAGGGCTAGACAAGCACTAGCTAGCGGTCGACTGGCCTTCCGCGTCAAACTCGGAGCACGGCTTCTGCTCGGTGCAGTTGGTGCATACCCCTCCGAGGGCTGTCGGATTCTTGTTTGGCGCATTGAGGGAAAGTACGATGACAGGTCTACCGCACCATATGCATATGTGCAGTGTTGCACAGGTGCAGCAGGCGAAATGGAGACCACCCCACTCACATCTGTATGTATTTCCACCAGAAGAGAGTCGTTGTGCACCTCCCGAGGCAGTGGTGCTTTGCTGCGGCCGGCCGGGTGCACCTCACGGTCTAAGCAGCTGTACGAGTAGGACTCCTTGAATAAGTCGAATTCTGTGTCTGTCGATCTATTACGTGTTCTGCTTCACAAAACCAAGACTCCCGAAAGCTGACCGGTAGATGTGCTCTGTTTCCAACAGTCCTGATGGCAAGCATGTGTCTGCATTTGTGTGTTTGAACCATTTTGTTGCAGGGGGGTTGCAGCCAAGAAGCTGCAAGCAACTCCAACTCTCTCTCTCTCTCTATATATATATATACATACAGATATATGATATATACATACCTGTGTAATTATGCGTGTACTATGTATGCATGTGTGTGCGTGTATAAAACTTATGTGCACGCGTGTTGTTGCATATATGGATATGCCCGCAATGCTTGCCTCCAAGCCGAGGGCATCTGCCAGGCCCCCAAGTGCAACCAAATCCTGGCTGGTGAAATCAAACTGGGTAATTTTAGCAGCTCAGCAGTTTGGGCACGGCTCAAGTAACCATCAGCTCTTGCGTACTGACCGCGGGCCGTCGGCTTACACCTCTACGGGCCTCTGCGCATTCTTCGATCTCCTCGCTCTCGGCCTGTGCAAGAGATGTCAAGGACAAAGACAGAAGCCAAGTCTGTTGTGTCCAGCCAGAAATGAAGAGCAGTTGCTAGCGGCAGCAATGGTGTTCTGTTTGGCAGCTCGAGCGCGCCTAGATGCGCCTTCAGCTTCCCACAAAACCCTTGCCCACCCCCCCCCCGCTTGGAGGGGCCCACCCCGCTGCTGGTAAACTCTTCAATTGTGCCCGGATGTCCCTAGACCTTTTGGCAAAGGTCCTCTTGCTGTCATCTTTCAAAGTCTCTGCGCCCTGCAGGCCCTAGGCCTCTTCTGCAGTCAAGTCAAGGTCGAGGTCCAAAGCCAAGGCTCTGCTTCTTTCCTGAGCACATGTAGAAGAGTCGCAGGCTGCGGACACACCTGTATGGGATGCCTGGATCTGCCGATACTATCCGCACGCTGCAATCGAGTCT